ACAGTGAACCCCCCCCCCAACAACTACGGTAACCAGTACTATCGAGTCTCACCTATAAGAGATAGTAGGAAAAGTTCTACAGAGAGGGGAGGCAGGAATTTTTACCTACTAATTATATGTTAGTTTGGGTTGCGTTACGTAGGGTAGGTTCAACTATGGTGGGTAAAAGTGTTCATCACCCCCCCGGGGAACATTTCCTAGCCCCTCTCATAGCCGAGACTCTAAATATTGATTGCCACAGTACGACGATCAATTTTCGAAAAAGCCGTGCTACAGAACTTTTATCGTTTGTATTAAATTAATTATCTCATTAACTAATTAATTTTAATATTTTCTCGTAATGTACTTTGAAGGCCTTACATGGGTATGTTAGGTGTCATATCCAACAATGATGTAAAAAATATTTAAGAGGTATACTTCATTTACTTTCTCTAGCGATGTGCCCCTTCCAATGTCTTGAATGCGCGCTGGCAAAATCGTAGGTAGGGAGAAAAAAGCTCATTATAATCTTGACTCTTGTTCATTAAACATACTTTTTCATACAGTACCTGCCAAAAGTTTTGTTCAATCATGACTAGTAGTGCGATTCGAAAACAAGCGTTAAAGCCTTCAATATGTCTTCAAATACAAATAAATATCTCGTTGATATTTTCAGTAGTAAATGGTACCAATAACAGCACATTTGAGCAATGCAATTGTAGTGGATAAAATGGCCAATTTTGCCGTGCAGTACTGTACGGATTATACGCTCCTCGCCGGTTAAGAGTTTGGCAGAGAGTTGTTTCCTTTCTTTTCTGGTCTAGTGCTGTTCTTTTCTACTTTGCTGCGGTCAAACTGAAGGTCACATCGCTACAGAAAGTAAACGAAGTATAGCAATATGTGATTTTGTTTTAGAGAATGGCTTTAAGAAAGAGAAATCTTTCATTTTGCAGTTCAACAATTTAGGGAGAGTATTTTTCTCGTTTTGTGACAATGAATTAGTTTCGTCCCTATGATAGTTTAAATAGATTTAGTTGAAAACCCTAAAGAATTAGTGAGCAGTAGCGGTAGTACCTAAAAACTAGAACCATAAGCGATAATAATAAGAATTAGTATAGTATAGTGTCCAGCTGGTCCCCCATGGCTTCCCCCTGAATAAATTGTAATAAAAACAGCCTGAGCCAATGAGTGGTGATATGAACGAATGTTGGTACCGTGAATTTTCTTGAACGTTGAGCCAATCGGGATATTCGACAATGCCTCGTTCAGGTGTGGTAACCGAAAGGCCAAAATCATCCACCCCCGTGGTAGAAGACACCGTCGTTTCTGCAAATGTTACACTGTTTCTGCCCTTATTACGGGTGGTAGTGTCGAAGGGGAAGTAACTAGCAAGAATTAATTATAGATTAGGATAGAAAACCAAACCAGTATAACATTAACCACATTGCTTTAAGACGTCCGATACTTTTCACCCTCTCTCTCTCTCATAATGTAAAAAACAATTCTTGATAAAATAAGGGTACTTTTACAATCAATCAATTAATAATTTCTTTTTTTATTAATATGATGTGTTGCAAGAACTGAAATTTGAATAAAGGACCGCACTAGATCCTTACGGAAAATAGCCCCCTGTCGAACTTTTTGAAACTGTTTTCTGGCAGTTCTCAACGTGTTGATCAAAAGTCTCAATGGGCGCTAAGTCACAAAAAATCATCATAGTAACTTTTATACATATTGAATACATGCAAGTATCTATACAAAACATTTTTTTTTTAATTACGTATTATCCGTCAATTTCAAAAGAGCCATAAAAAGAAACAGGGTTATTTCAGACTAAGTACATGTGAATTGCCCGAGCCGAAGGCGAGGTTGGCAAACATGCACTCTCAGATAACCCTGTTTCTTCCCGAGGTGTGTATACTATTTTTTGTCATGTTTGTGCGGAAGTTGGCGAATAAGAGTAATTGATTTAGAGGTTAGAAAGACACTGCCATTGAACAACTGATTTCTGCGCATGCCCATAAACTTCAGCGCATGCGTTCAAAAGACTAATTTCATTTCCACCCGACTAAAACACGGCTGAAAAGAGACCATTTCTTCCCTACTTCATAGCATGCAAAACGAGCTTTCCGCGCTAACATGACAAAAATGTCTTTCTAAACTCTAAATTATTTACTCTTATTTCGCCAACTATCAATTTAATGACAAGCTTTCCGCACAAACATGACAAAAAATAGTATATGTACCTCGGGAAGAAACAGGGTTGTCTCAGACATGCAGTCTGAAATAACCCTGTTTCTTCCCTCGATACGTAATGTACTATTTTCCCTCTTCACAGTTGTAATTTTTATTATGAGCAATTTGCGAAATTTCTTCTGATCATATTAGAGTTTGCATAGATACATATACAAAAATTAATGGATACTGTGTACATTGCGACAAGTATTTCGCGTTACAATGTTACAAATAGACAAAAACTATACCATACTGTATATTCTGTTTATTTGCAGCACTTCTTACTGATCATTAAAAAAATTTTTGTATGAAAAAATTTACTACTAATAATAGCAAAACTAGCGATAAATGCATTTTCTTTTCCCTTCCTAGTCCTACAATTCTGTTTCTTATCAATCGTGTTCTTTTTAGGTGTTTATTATTAGTTGTGTAAATCATATATCCATTTTTCATACGTAATTGCCTTTTGTCCATTATGTACTTAGTATATTTTTCAAATGCAGATAAATTACATTTTAGTATAAGTGTCACTATTAGGAGGCATTTAATTTAACATTATCAGAAAACTGCAATTGTTATAATTTCAGACGATAAAAAATTAGAACGAAACATTTTTTACACTAATTAGCTCTTTTTGTACTCTTGTATATGCGTACTTAACAAATGAAGTAAAGAAGTCAAAAAAATAATTAATTTGAAAATAGTCTTTTCCCATTTTATTTACAGATTCTTTAGCAGGTACCTAACATACATATCAAATACAAATAAGGATTCATGATTTTCACACACTTTTATTTATGAAGTAACAGTTCTCTAGCCATTCTTGATAATTGCTATTTTTTCTATCCTCTTTTTTCGTATTATTCTTATATAGGTGTACTCCGTTAATATGCTTCCTTGGTTAAGCTGTAAACTAGCTGGATAGTATACAAACTGCCTATATATCTGCTTAGGCTTATAGGGTTACGGTAGGAGAAAACAACACTCACGAAGTCCTTGTCATACTGGGTAATTTGACCCCTTACCACAAAAATGCAAATAATGAAGTCTTAAAATTCTGTAAACGAAAGAGTGGTATAAGTACGTACTTTTTTTGTCTATACGTCTGTTACAACGAAACCGTTGCATAAGGGTGACACATTCAAGTAGGTAGTTACTGATTATGTACAATTTAATTTTTTTTTGTGGCAATTATGTCAATTATTATTACATAATTAAAGTCTGAAGTTGAATTTCGAACAGTCTTAAAGCGATGTCGTTAAACTGTGACATTTAGAGATAGAAAGCATGCAAAGAAGAAAGAAAATGATGTGAAGATGACGTAATTATTGTATACAGATAAAGAGTTAGCATTCAGGTTAAGAGTTACCTTATTCGTATGCAAATTTATGAAATACTTGGTTTCTTTAAACAATAGTAACTACTTTTATAATAAAATTTACAATTCGGCGGATATTTTATTGGTATTAAACAGTTGCCTGTTTCACAAGTTACTCATGANTATATATTTCGGCAACTTAGAAAGTACTGCTCAATGATTTATAATGTCTCATTATTGTCGTTAAATAGAGTGAGCGTGACGCTATATAGAGTGTAATATTGTATAGAAAACAATGTAAACCAACCAAAGTCAAGCAATTTCGATGTTTTATGGAGTTTGTCGTTTAATCGAGTGACGTTATAAAGAGTTAACACTGTATATCGAAAAAAAAAAAATAGTTTGTCTCTATATTTCAACCATGTGTTATCCAGATATAAGAACAAAGAACACTTACTCCGAAGAGATTTTTGTAGATTCCTTCTTTCAAACAGGGATAAAGTTTTTTTTTTAATTTTTTAGTTTAGTGTTAAAATCTGGTAAAGCAGTATTAGTCTTGATCTTGGTCCTGCATTTTCGCAATGCCAAGATCAAAACTGCAAGGTCAAGATCAATTTTACTCATCACTAGCCGCATCGATTAACAACTCTACAAAAAAAATTTTGTCTTTGTCCTAAAATTTATTTTGATTTTTCTATGCATGTTCCAAAATAAAGAAAAATACTCATATTCCATATAAAGTTTGCTATAGTGTTAGTTACGGTAATAATACTTTTTTTGAGTTATCATCTATGAAAAAGGCATTTAATAGTTGTACATTTAAAAATACCTCGAAAAATTAAAGAGGTATGATTGTAACAACGTAAGAGGTTTGTTTCAAGGAATTGGTATGCCCTGTGTTCCCAATGAGTGGCGTTTATTTATTAACAGCTAGACGAATAGCCTGAAAACAGTTTATTACATAACGGAAATAAATTTCCATCTTTTCCAGTCGCTTATTTTGTAAATTTTAAAGAAAACTATAAGTGTCAAAAATTTACTCGAAACTTTGAAGTATCAAGAGTATAAGTGGCAGCGGAGATTTTATGATGGTACGATTTTTAATGAGACTCTACAGGCTGCATATACAACATATGCGTGTTATCTCTATTTGTGGGACAGTAGAGCGGATGCTCAACATTATATTCAAAAATCATGGCCACTAAGAACTGAATTTCGTGTTGGGAATCAAAGCGTAAAATGTGAACCAATTGCTGAACCCGAAGTTAGGACTTATGAAACAATTCGAAAAACAATTACATGAATGATCTGAAGCGTTTACGGTTTTAAACAACTTTTTCCCAAAGTTGTCAGAAGCAAAGATTAAAGCTGGAATTTTTGTTGATTCATAAGTTAGAAAGTGCTCAACAAAAAAAGTTGGAATCGTTTTAATGGAGTAGTTTCTAGATTTTTAGGGAATAACAAAGTTGAAAATTACCGAGAACTAGTTGATAACTTAATAGAAGACGTTAAAACCATGGGTTGCAGGATGTCTCTAAAAGTACATAGGTATGCTGCATGCTGATTTAGATAATTTTGAACATGGGGGCGTATTCAAAAGAACAAGGACAACGTTTTTATCAAGATATTACGGCTTTCGAATAACGTTATTAAGGTCAATACAGCGAGAATATGATAGGGGACTACATTTGGATTTTAGTGGGAGAAAATAGTTATAAACATGAAAGAAAAAGTAATAGGGTTCACTTTTAAACTTTTTCCCCCTATTTTGTAATTTAATATGACAGTAAATAAAAGTTGATAAAAACTTATATATAAATATATTTGTTTCAATTTATCG